TTCCTACTATAGTATTTGTAGAAATATTAATGTTACAATATTTAGTACTTCTGTAATCAAACAAACACATTTTCATATGGCCAACTTAAATGATCCTAAATATACTGGTGGAGAAATATTGATGTTGACTGCTTGTATCCAAATCAGCATATATCCTTAACTGGAGTAATATGGATGAAATCTGTTATTTACTGCTTACAATCCCTTACTCTCATAAGGGGTACCCTTCAGAAAATCCGGAAGCAGATAATGCTGTGCAAGTCTTCAGGATGCCAGAACCTAATGTTCACTCACAAGTTCTCCCTTCCACATCTGAGGTAACACTGTATTTTGATTTTTAACTGCTCTCCTGTAGTCCTTTCTGTATTATTATTACTTGTAATCATTTGGATATATTCTTTAGGCAGCTTAATTTATAGTGCCCACCTTGTAGTCTACTAGTCTTAGCCCATCATCATGTTGACCAGGGCTGCTAATGAGTCCAGTTTTAATCCACTTACTTACCAGATTTAATAATCTCTACCTAGTTCTCTTGTCATTGGATTCATTGCATATAAAATGGTTCTGCTGCAAGGAGTTCAACACGGGACGCTTTGCTGGTTTGTAGTTGAGGAAATTTGTTCTGCTTACTTTGAAATAAAATTCAAGAAGTCAGTCTTGGTTTTTGCACTTGGACTTTGTGACACTTGGACTTTTGCCACAATTTCTGTCTTCTGTTTTCCTAAAACACTCTTCTATTCACTGTTGATCACAGTATAAATACATAACCTGTTTGGCCGACTAAGTCACTCAAGTATGTCTCACTACACTCACACACACATAGTGGAGGTAGAACTTAGAAGAAGGGGAGAGCAGAGCACACACAAATGAACACACTTGTGAATGGTGCTGTTTGAACTGAGGCTGCTGCCATCCCTCTCTCTCTCATATATACATGTCATAGCAAAAGTACATGAAAGCCATCTCCGAATTCTACCAACTAACAGGGTCAAACTGCCCATACTACTTGAACTAAAATCTACAATACCTGCTACTGTTCTGCAAACAGGCAGAGATGAAAAGAAAGAAGCAGTCCCTGTTCCTATACTCCTATGACAAAAGAAAGAAGAGTGGAGAGCAGCTGATTATCTAACATAACCTTGCATTCTTAGAAAAATTAAAGACAATTTTGCTACCTCTTTTGTGTAATGCTGTCTTAGTGAATCTCATGATTAAATTGTGACATCTGTTGCAGGCCCTAAATCCACAGATTGTGAGCAACAGCCCTGTTCCGATCTCTTTACAGCAGCAGCATATCTCTCAGCAACAAGCTGCCGCACAGATGTACCCTCAAATGCATGTGCAACATTTTCCAAATTTCATGCCATATCGACAACTCTATTCTCCAGTTTATCCCATGCCTATGCCAAACTATTCGCCAAATGTCCCTTATCCATCGAATGGAAATAATTATCTTCAGATGCCCAGTGGAGGTTCACATTTAACTGCAGGAGGCGTGAAGTATGGAGTTTCACAGTATAAACCAGTCCCATCTGGTAACCCTTCTGGCTACGGAAATTACACTCATCCAGCTGGTTTTACAATGGGTTCTCCGGGTGTTATTGGAGCTGCAGTTGGTGTTGATGATGTCAATAGGATGAAGTACAAGGACAACATTTATGCCTCAACTCCACAGGTACAATTTACAATTTTTTGAATGCTATTAATTCTCAAATTAGAGAGATGGGTATCTTTTTTCGTTTTGTAGTACTTTAATAGGACTTACTCTTTACTTTCTTTGTTTATTATGGGTTGAGTACTTTATCTCAGAAGTGCCCGCCTTTCCCTGTGAAAGTAAATCAGGTGGGAATGGTGCCATTCTCTTCCTAATAAGAGAATCTGATAGCGAAGACATCTTTAGGCCAATAGTGTTCATGATTTCTGAGTTTGGTCCTTTCATTTTACTAATTTGAGTATCTTCCACAGGTCGAGACATCTGACATCTGGATTCAGCCAGCTAGAGAGATGCCACCTTTGCAGGTTCCTTCATATTACAACATTCCAGGTCAAGCAACGCCTGGTGCTTTTGTGCCAAATCCAGCAAATGCATCTTTCAATGCTACAGCTCAATCCTCTCACACGCAGTTCCCAGGCTTGTACCATCCTCAGCAGCCTCCCTCTATTGTAAGTCCGCACCCCATGGTGCATCAACAGGTGCCATCGGCCATTGGTCCCAATGTTGGGGTCGGGGTGGCAGCTCCAGGCCCGCAAGTTGGGGCTTATCAGCAACCACAGCTTGGTCATATGAATTGGAGACCCAGCTTTTGAAGAAAGTTTCTTAATTATCTGTAATTAGGGGGTCACAAGAGCCTTTATGTAACAACAGTAGGCTCCTTTTAACAGGAAGCACCTTTGTTTTTAGTGCAGCTCTTTCTGATCTATCTAAAGCTATAACAAGGTTTTTGTTAGCTTTTCCTTCCCCCAGGTGAATTCAGTATCCCATCTGAACTGGTATGATGTAGATTTGTGAGTTAAACATTGGGCAAGATCTCGCATGAGCACCAAGGTTGAGCGCCTTCCATTTTGTTCTATTGTTTTGTTTCCTTATCTGATTTATGCATGCATAAGGTTGTGAATTTTAGGTTTTTAGCAGTGCAAGCGGCGTTTTAGTGTGTTCTGCTATCGAATGCAATGTGGTAACCTGGTCAGGGTTCTTTGTAACTGGGGCTGTCCATGTCATAATGGTCACGTACATTTTATGCTTCCTTGGAACAACAGTTTAGAACCTAATTGCGTGTGGAAATTTTCTGTGGTACCTGGTACCTGAGGACTTTACTTCTGTAGTCTGTATGTAGTTGGAGAGTATTGTGTACTGATTTAGTTGTCGTGGAGTAATATGTATCATGGATCTGAAAGTTCAAATGGGCATGGCGGAACAAATTATGACATTACAGTTGTTCCTATTTTTTAACATCATCTGGGCAGTGAACTCGACTAACATTTGTGTGCTTGTTTGTTTCTTGCTTGCTGCGTTTCATGTGCACCCCTTTTTTTGGCATTACAAATTTGTTCAGTATCTGAGGGGTGAAAAAGGAATGGCTCACTGTTTGTTAAGCTTGTGGGTTTTGTTGGCCCAAGTGAAGATGCACTGCTCGCTGTATTATGTGTTGTGATTCTTTTCTTGTCTTTGAAAAGAAGTTAAGAACAATGGTTTGTAATAAGTGTTTATGTTTTGGAGCGTATCCATCTATTGATCAATGTGTACTTAATGCTGCCATGGTGGTTATTGAACTGATCGTTACTCATGATTGAAATGAAATGATACGGAACTATGTAGCAGATGTAGTGTCAAAGCTAATTTAGGGTCCACTTTTAGCTGGCTTCATTGGCGAATTTAGAGGTCCTCTGCCGCGTCGCCTCGGTTCCCCTCTGACCTCTCTCCTTTGTGGCGGTTAGGCAATCCCAATTCCCATGGCCCCGTTCGCGTGCCCTTAAACCCGGCTTAACCCGCTTTATTTTTTCATTCGGAATAGTGTTTTTCTCATAAATTCCTCCAAATTCCTTCCAAACCATCTAAATTCCTCCATTCAGACAAGCGAACAAGTCCCATGCTCTATAGCCACTGTTGCCTCCGCCTCGGCGTCTAGCGTCTAGACCACGATGAACGGTGGTTTTGCAAAGTGACAGCGGAGCCTGTAGACTTGTAGAGGCAACTATTGCTTCATCTAACAAAAATACAAAAGCACCTATTCTAGCTTGCGATCTAGAAGAAAGAATCTTTGCAACACGGTTTGTTGTGGCTAGCAGCAGCTTTATGCGGCGAGCATAGAATGATGGGGTCACAAAAGAAAAATAAGAGTTAGCTTGCGTTTTGCCGATTGATAGTCTCGAGTCTTTAACATGTACTGAGCAAAAACTTTTGCTCTAGACTACTAATTTTAGCCCGCGTTGGTCCTGCTTTTATGCAGTGGCCCAGTTACCATTATATATAGATCCCTCCTTTGGGGCGGTGATGTGGTGGCCAATTGCCAGGTCTCATACGTAGATCTCTAGTAGGTTATAGTGGCAGAGGATCGGAGTCTCCTACATATATCTAGTTTCTAGTAGGTTATAGTTTCTTTAGGGTTTGGTTTCTAGTAAGAGATGATGACAAATTGGAATATATTTTTTCCTATCTTGATGATGTCCAATCCATCGTCGACAATCAAGATCGTGACGGTGTAAAGCAGTTGTCTAGTTTTGATGTGGTGACTCCAATCTCCTCTGTGATTATTCTACCGGAAGTAACATTGGTAGTCACAAGCAATTATTTTCGTGTTTAATGCCTTGCGTGACAAGGTTGGTAGGTGTCTCTTTTTCTTATTTTCTATTTAATAATACAACAATCTTCAAGTTCTGCACAGGTGGTAAACAAATTGAAGGAAGAAAATAGCAAGAAGGGTTTGTCTTTTTTTTTTGAGGTTGTCTATCAACTTGCCCTTCTCTAACACTAACCATGATTTTAAATAGCAGGCTAAACTTAGCGACAACTTTCTCCTAAATACAGCTATAGCAGGATACAGTTGAAGTTACATCATTTAACGGTTCTATAGAAAACATGAGAAAATTTTACCAGTATTTTAAAGAGTGGGCTATGACATTTAGGATTTGGCTTTAGCGGTAGCCTCTTCTAAAAGCTATAAATAAATAGATAGAGACAAAGATGGTTAAGCTGTACGTGAATATAAGTAATTTTACTTTCTGGTGAATCGCACTTGGTTAAGTTGGAGAGGAGCTAAACCATTTCAGCAATATTTGCTAAGTTTCAATAGTAGATCAAGTATGTGTATCTGCTGACAATATAATTTTTTGTGCAGGTGTGTGTGGCCTCGCACCGTCACATACATTTTTTTTTCCACAGTCGCCAGGCCCCGCGATCCAACGGGAGCTGGAGACTCCAGAGCCCTCAGCCCAACCCGCAGCCCAACAACGACCCCCGAGCAGGAGCGGCGGCGGCGGCACAACCCTCTCCGGCAATCGGCATGGGCACGCGGGAGGTGTACGAGGAGAAGCTCCGCAGCGGCGCGCACCTCCACCGCGATCCCACCATCAACCCAGGCCTCGGCTCGCCCCGGTGCCCGCGATGCCTCTCCCTCCTCAACCCCACCGCGGTGCGTCTCTCCCAGTCCCCTTCCTCTCCCGATTCCTCGAGGCGCTTCCCTGGCTATGTTCCTGACCTGTTCTTATATTCTGCCCGTAGGGAGAGAGGGACTGGGCCATCACCTCGGTCCTTCACGACGCCACCGCCGTGGTAACACGCGATCCCCCGCTCGCTCTCACGCGGCTGCGAGATTCGTGTGGTCTTTGCGCCACCGCTTCAGGAAAATTGCTGCTAACTTGTGTGCGATTTGTTGTCCTGTTTGTGCTGTTGTTTTAGGCTGGCTCCGGTGCAGGCGCTTTGCTCAGTGCTGTGCACGGGTTTAACACAGGTATCTTCCAGTTACTTGTTTGGTTTTGGGATTGGATTAGTAGGCATCCAGATTGGCACAAATTGATATTGTTTTGTTGTTTCTTTGGAACAGGGATCCCTTTTGTCCAGAAGCATGTGAAAGGGACGAAGTGGCTGCAGTTGCTTGTTGGGGTAAGTCTTGGCTTTTGTTTACTGATGTGCATGTATGGGTATACGGCTATACCATGTTCTATTGTGATCTATCTTAGATAGCTTACTAAAGTTTGGTGTGAATATTGATCTAGTAGTCTGATTCAATATTTTACATGTGTGAAGCCTAAACCATTAGGTAAAATGATGATCTTTGGCAAACAAATTATCAAGGAAAAACTCTACTTGTTTAGTAAATCTACGTAATCAGCTTTAAGAAGGATATGTTAATAAATGAATGTCTGGTTCTCTTGACATGAGGATCAACTCAACTACAAACTATATAGTATGCTGACATTGCAGGTTTTTTTTAAAAAAAAATACAGATTAGTATTTCAAGGCAAAGTAATAGTCAAACTCAGATATTTGATTGCCTGCGTAGTCATTTCTCTGGACCATTTTTAGTTTATCTTTAAAAACAATTGGACTGGGGGAGTTGAACATGGCATTCTACACATTAAGGTTTAGGGAGTTAACCTTCCTAACACATTCAGGATTTGTTATGTGGTTACCGGCATTGTGGTTTGTCAAGTCCTTGATTTGGCCATTTGCTGTCAGGGGTGACTTAACGTTGAAGTTACCTGGTGCCAATGCACCAGGGTAAAATTTTTTTGGCCATTCAACAGTCTCATTTTCACCATATGTTCCAAAAGAATTGTGTATGCTACTTAAACAGTGCACGGGTCATTTGCTTGTAGTTTTGCCCCTGTTTGCTGTCCTGTGTTTCAGTGGCAAATGCTAATAGCTTTTGTAGATTTTGTGATTTGGTCGCTATAGAACTTTGAGAAAGGATGCTTTGTTATGATCTGTTCACTTTGGAAATTGCTACTTCTGTAGGTGCCACCGCTGCTGATGTTCTCAGGCGCCAGTGCTGTATTTGGTGGTAAGTCTCCTCCAATAACTATATTTTTTTCTAGACAATGCAATAAGCTCTACGAAATTGTCCGCACAGGTTACTTTGACTTTTTTGAGCTATGATCTGATTATTAAACAAATGCTTCTTTATGTGTTTGGACTAGGAATCTATGCAAATCTATAATTGGAAACATGATTTTTTTTTTTGCATTTTTTGTGTTTAGACTATAGCTTATAGGGTTACAGAAACAGATACAATTTGTCATCAGGGTTGGATTAGATGTGGTTTCATTCCTGTCAAAAGTCTACATGAACTTTTCCATCTTGTTCTTTCCAAATCCATCAACCCAGACATATGTATCTAAAAACATTTTTGTTTAACAGCTTAATGTTAAACAATATTTGGCTTGTAAACTTCATGTTTATTGTTATATAAGATACTATCATAATTGTTAAGAGTCTAAACAATGCTAGTTGAGGTTCAAGTAAAGTTTGTAGTTCCTTCCAAAGTTATTTCAATTTTCAAATCTTGGTCTCACATATCTTGCCTGTCCAATAGAATAGGATTGCTCTTCTGAAAGTATAGCCAGAATGCCAGGTGCAATGCACTAGGTTAGGTGTTTTGAACAAATGGGAGGGATGTAAATTGCAATTTTATACAGTCGAGATGAAATTTATAGAGCTATTTGAATCATGGATATGTATCATGTAGCCATTCCAATGAATGTTTTTCCCTCGAGGGATGGAGCCGGAAGTGTCTCAGGCTTCCAGCTATGTGCCAAAGTTCCTTCGATGTCTTTAAAGGCCAATGTTGGAGGCACATCAACAAGGCCAAGAGAAACATTCAACTTCTTTAAAGGAACTTAAATTTGGAGAGCATGCCAATTGGAATAGCAAATCCTGGCTTCCATCCGATGCATGTTTTTTTTTGACAGACTTGTTAGCAAACTTGATTTGTTTTTCTATACTGCATAGTACCTAATGATATATTACTTGATGCAGCATATGCACTGCCAAGATTTGCTCAGCTCACCGTGACGTCTTACTACGCGGCATCAACTGGCTCGCAGTACGTGGTTTCACAGATCACACGGCAGATCGAAAGAGCTCATTTCCAAGAATCTGACGAGAAGTCTAGATGAGTTGGTTGTCATTCAGTTTGTTCTATTGGTCCCATGTACATGGTATATGTAAGTACGTTTATTGCTGCTTTTGCCATGGTACAGTACTAGTTTTACTGTGTTTCAGACAGCACGCAGTGAATAAAATTAAATTGTCTTGCCCAACTGTCTGCATTCAGGTCTTGGGTTAAAATGTTTTTTTTTCACTCAGTAAAATGTTAAATTTATGTGCGGAGAACTGAGATGATGATCTGGTAAGACTTTAAGAATAAACAGTAGAACTAAACTATAAGGATAATACATTGCAGATTTGCAATGAAGAACACGACCTGGTAGACAGTTAATGAATCATTGGTGAATGAAGAGACCTCTAGCAATTACAGTGCACATAAACAAACGCAAATGACTAGTTAACACTGGGTGTTCTCATCAGCTATCATCAACGATGTATTTGAATATTGGAAACAAATCCTACACCAATCACCAATTCTCCAATTCTTGATCAGACAAACGTCCAAGTCGAAACGCGATCCGCGATCTGGAGGAGAGTGGCTAGATCTAGCTGCCCGGCGGCGGTATCCCGGCGTAGTACAACCACGCCCTCTCCTTCTCCCGCCGCTGCTTGCGCAGGTACCACTCCCGCCACTGTATGAACTCCTTGGTCCGACGCGCGCCGTGGTCGGACCCGGCGGCGGCGGCGGGCGGTCGCACCACCGCGCGCTTCCGCCTTGGCCGCGGCATGCGCGGCCCCGGCCTCTTCATGCTGATCGCGACGACGACCCCTATCATCGGCACCGGGGCCGGGGCTGCACCCCTCCCTCCGTCTTCTCCCACCGCGACGAGATCGTTGACGTCGTCGGACGAAGAGGAGGCCGGCGCCGTCTCCACGCCCGCGCCCTGTCCCGTGTCCCGTGTCCGTTTCGCCGCCGTCCATTTGTTTCGTAACCCATTCTATTGTCAGCGGGTTCACTTGATGCCGGATGAGATGAATCGGCAAACCAAACACGCTGTAAAGGCGAGCATGGGGGCTAACACTCTTAGTGCTTTCAGTACAAATAAAATGGTCCACGTAGATTAGAAAATGTTGAAACTATTATTTTCACAATGCAAACTATCACTTTTAAATAGTGGTTTTCATAGAAACTTTTTCTTTTCATCATATCTCACTTTTATTTCTTCTCCCTCTTCTTTTTCTAGCATGAACCACCTTCTCTCTCCCTAAACATATGTAGCTTCTGCATGCCAGTATGACAACTACTACAGAGCACCTACTTTTTATATCTGATCCTACGTGGCCCTTAGATGAGCTACTAGTAAAAGCACGGCATTGGAGAAGGCCTAAGAGTCGGAGTATTAAACCGGCCTGTTAGTTTCAGTGAACCAGTGGGCGTGCGTACGATGTAACCGCGTGTTTGTTCGTTGTATATACGACGAAAATCAAGGCCATCCATCAAGATGCCGGCGGTGAAGACGGATCGCGCGCACGTATCCATCCATGATCCGTCCAATTCCAATGCAATACTCCAAAGACAACAAAGCAGCATTGGGTCGAGTAAGGACGCACACGTACGTTGCAGTACGCGTCTACGTGCACGTACGTACGTGTTATGAGTATAATCTATGGCTTGTCTCCCATCATCAACGACACAATAATAACGCCGCATCATCCCGACACACCGCGTCGATCGAAGTGCATGCATAATAATCACGAGTACTGCTCCTGCGTACAATATGGCGTGCCGTCAGCACCAGCGCGCGCGCGTACGTATATCCACTAGCACGTAGTACAAACTTTTATGCCAGGCTCTAGCTGGCGCTCACACGTACGTATGTGTGCGCAACGACGCCACACACACGTAGACGACCACCACACAGCACGCGCGAAGCGGTTGTCGTCGCTCCGATCCGGCAAGAAGTACGTGCAGTATGGATGCATGGACGATGATGGATCGATCGTCCGGATCGAACGTCTTCCGAGGTCGACGCATCGATCTGTCGATCCATCGACGGAGTGCCGGTTCGTTCGAAGAAGCGTACGTGCGCACAGCATGTGGAACGGATGCGCGCACCGGCCGGCCCGGCGCACATATAGCCAGCCAGCGAGTCAGCGACGTGCATGCGCTGCACCGTACCCCGCTGGTTTATTTGCAAGGTCAGGCGGCACAGGCCGGTCTCGGTCGAGGGACACACGCCATGTGGTCTGGATGTACGCGTACGCGTGACTTGGATCAGACCCTAACCGCCCGGCCCGGCCGGCCGGGCCCTCCTCTCGTACCGGCGCTAACCCACGATCGACAGGCACCTAACTAGTGAGCCCCCGGGCCGGTGCCGCGCTGGGTTCGGTCGGAGTGTAAGTACGTGCATTATTAACAGTAGGGAGTAACATTCACCGATAGAGAAACAACCATTCATCCAGCTCGAAATTTGGCTTTAGTTTCGATATTTTTCACGTTTGGGACTAGAAAGACGTTTAGTCCAGATTTATAGCTTCAACCGGGACTAAAGGTCCCTGCCCAACGGCTACTGCGGCAGGCTTTTGCTGCAGGGGACCTTTAGTTCCGGTTTAAGCTACAAACCGGGACTAAAGGTTAACTTTTACTCCCGGTTGGTCCCTCTAACTGGGAGTAAAAGTCTTCTCCCGGCTGGAGGCTCCGTCCAAGACTAGAAATGAACCTTTAGTCCTGGTTTCTGTCTTCAATCGGGACTAAAGGTCCCCTCCTATATAGCCCTCTTCCTCCCCGAGCCCGAGCCACTTCGAGCTCAGTGTTCTTGCTTCATCGCCGGCCTCTCTTCTTCCTCATCTCCGGTAATCACAAGATTTCTTCGATTCCTCCCTCGATTCTTCGGTTTTAAAGGTTACCAACTTTATACTCTCATGTTTTATCAGTAGCATATCTCATTTTGTGGACTAGATATATGTGGTTTTTTATGGTGAATTTTTTTATTTGTAAGCCATTTAAGTTCAAAATCACTTTAAAGTTTACATATTTGGATGAAGGAAGGTTAAAGTAGTTATTCAAAACTAGTATTCAGTTTTCATTTCTAGCATGCATAGCACAATTTATGGTTTAGAGATATAGAGAATTTTAGAGTTTTTTTTAATTTTATTTGTTTATAAAATGATAAATTTATATTATATTAAAAATGAGTATAGAGAGTAGATGTCAACTGCTTTTGGGTCCTCGGCCTCTCAACGGGTTCCAAAGCGACTAAGGCCGGACCTCCCTCTCATTGCATGCGGCAAGTGTGAGAAGATTGTGATGGAGTACCGGGTGAGGAAGGAGTGTTCCAACAAGGGCCGTATCTTCTACAAGTGTTCGGATCGCAATGTGAGTTATTTTATCGTATTTGATGATTATGGTTAATTTATACTTATTTTCATGATGATTGTGATTAAAGTTCTAATTTTTTGTTTTAATTTAAGTGGGATGGCACTGGATGTTCAGGTTGATACTGGAAGGAAGAGTATGTTGAACACGTGCAAAACTCTCTTGCACAGACGGCTACGGCGGCTGATGAGACAGTGATCCTGCGGAAGAAGCCTATAGATGTTGAACAAACACATGATCTGTCTGTTTTAGTTGGGATTGGTCACGAAATCCTTATGCTGCTGAAGTGTATTTTAGCTTTAGTTTTTTAGTGGTAGTTGGAATTGTCTACATTGTAGCGAGACTTTCATAAATTAATACCTTGTGTGGTGGCATGCATGTCGTATAATTAACTAATTATGTTCTAGATTTTAATATGGTATGTATGTCATGTAATGCAGATGAGCCGACATTGGATGTACAATGCTAATCGCCGCTCCCAAGAGTTCATTGAGGGCATGCATTCTTTCTTACGTGTGGCCGAGGCAAACAAACGCGATAGTTTCATGTGCTGCCCATGTGCCATATGTAAGAATTTGAAGAAATATGCTAGCTCAAGGAGTCTTCATTTACACTTGTTGAAGTCGCGTTTCATGCCAAACTATATTTGTTGGACGAAGCACGGAGAAACCGGGGTTGTAATGGAAGAAGGTGAAGAAGAACAATGGGACGATGATGATATTATTTCTGAATATGGTGCCTTCAATGATACTGCAATGGGGGAAGCTGAAGAAGAGGTAGTGGCAGAAGATGAGCCCGCTGATAATCTTGGTCAGGCCATTCGTGACGCACAAAGAGAATGCGAAAGTAAAAAGGGGAAGATCAAGTTCGAGCGCATGCTAGAGGATCACAAGAAATTGCTATACCCAACTTGTGATGCGGGACAGAAAAAGTTGGGTACCACACTGGAATTGCTGCAATGGAAGGCAAAGAATGGTGTATCTGATAAGGGATTTGGGGAGTTACTAAAAATCCAAAAGAAGATGCTTCCGAAGGATAACGAATTGCCCGTCACTACGTACGAAGCAAAACATGTAGTCTACCCTTTGGGATTAGAAATTCAGAAGATACATGCATGTCCTAATGACTGCATCCTCTACCGTGGCGAGGAGTACGAGAAGTTAGATGCATGCCCGGTATGTTATGCATCGTGGTATAAGATCAGGCGAGATGACCCTGGTGATGTTGAGGGCGAACGTCCCACGAAGAAAATCCCTGCTAAGATTATGTGGTATGCTCCTATAATACCACGCTTGAAACATCTATTCAGAAATAAAGACCATGCAAAGTTATTACGATGGCACAAAGAAGATCGTAAGGTAGATAATATGTTGAGGCACCCTGCTGATGGGTCCCAGTGGAAAGCAATCAATAGAGAATTCCCGGAGTTTGCAAATGACGCAAGAAACTTAAGGTTTGCTTTAAGTACGGATGGTATGAATCCTTTCCGGGAGCAGAGCAGTAGTCATAGCACTTGGCTTGTTACTCTATGTATCTACAACCTTCCTCTCTGGTTATGCATGAAGCGTAAGTTTATTATGATGCCAGTGCTCATCCAAGGCCCAAGGCAACCTGGCAACGACATCAATGTGTACCTGAGGCCACTAGTTGAAGAACTTCTACTTTTGTGGAACAGACCAGGTGTACGTGTGTGGGATAAGCACAAACAGGAGCACTTTGACCTATGAGCATTGTTGTTCGTAACAATCAATGATTGGCCTACTCTAAGTAATCTTTCAGGATATTCAAACAAGGGATATAATGCATGCACACACTGTTTCGATGACATTAAAGGTATATTCTTGAAAAAATGTCGAAAGGTCGTGTACCTTGGCCATCGTCGATTTCTTCCTGCGAATCACCCCCTAAGAAAGAAAGGTAACCATTTTAAAGGTAAGGCAGACCACCAGACCAAGCCGGGCAACCGAACTGGTGAGGATGTACTCAATATGGTCAAGGATGTGAAAGTAGTATTTGGAAAGGCACATGGCAGCGAACCTGTTCCGAACGACGCCGACGGTCACGCACCCATGTGGAAGAAGTCCATATTTTGGGAGCTACCCTATTGGCAAGTCCTGGAGATCCGTAGCGCGATCGATGTGATACACCTGACGAAGAATCTTTGTGTGAACCTGCTAGGCTTCATGGGTGTGTATGGGAAGCCTAAGGACACACTTGAAGCACGACAGGACCTGTGGTGTTTGAAAGGACGAGACAACCTGCATCCAGAGAAGACAGATGATGGACGCCATTACTTAAGTCCTGCCAGCTACACTCTTAGCAAAGAAGAGAAGGAAAGCTTGTTTGAATGGCTAGCAAGCATCAAGGTACCATCTGGATTCTCCTCGAATATAAAGGGTATAATAAATGTGCCAGAGAAGAAATTCCTAAACTTAAAGTCCCATGACTGCCACGTGCTTA